ACAGCAGACCGCTTCTGACCCGCCCACTGCTCCCCTCACAGTGTACTTCAGTCTGCATGTTCTGCTCCCCACTCTGTCTCTGGGGACTCCTCTCACCAGCACCCCCAACTCTGACCTATGCCCCAGTTCTTCTAAACAAAAATAAGCAAAATCTTGAAAAATAAATAACGGACAAACAATTGAGAATTCAGTGTTAATTACTGTTGCTAAATGTGTGTCCTGTAATGTGGAATGTTTGGGAAAATTTCATCCGAATGTTCTAGTTTAAGAAATTTTGATTTGAAATGTGTAGATTCTCTTAGATATCATTTGTTATAATTCCATGATACCACCTAAACTTATGATGTTAATGGTATTTAAGTAAATTTTACTTTTATATTTCATAATCTAAAAATACTAAGGTGCGTGAAAATATTCAGAAATTAAAATCTCTCTTACGTGCACATAACAACAAAGGTGATGTGCTCCTGTTGCATCCAAGGCTCAGCTTCAGTTCAGCTCTGGAGTCACCCTAAAACCCAGGACCGGCAGTTTGGCCACAGCCCACTTCCTAACGCCTCTCCGCTCATCCGCATTCTTGCCCAGCCTGGCCAGCAGGTCACCGGCTTCCATACCTCTGTGCTTTACTTGGGTCCTCAGACAGGGCTCTCTGCCCCACCTGCATCTGCCTGGAGCCATTCTAGACACTTCTGTCACCAGACTCTCATGCGCGGAAGCAGGTGCTACAGGGTGGTTCAGCCTCCAATTAGAGATGTGGTCAGAGTCGAGTTACTTTACCTGTCTGAACCTCAGCTTTCTCTCTCTCTTTTCTTTTTAGATTTCATTTATGCATACAAGAATTGGGGTCCAGACCAGATGTGTGGGGGGGGGAGAGGGAGGTGAGAAAACTCATCAGAGACAGAGTGGGGAGCAGAAAAGCTGAATCTATGGAAATTGCTGAGGGGAGCAGTGGGCAGGACAGGAGAGGTCTGCTGTGCCAGGTGGGTCAGCTCCCTGGCTGGGTCAGCAGTGGCTGGAGATAGCTTCATAACACTGAGACTTTTAACCCCTGCACCACCAGGAAGGCCTGAACCTAGCTTTTTCATCTGTGTAAGGGTGAGCGAAACTTCTCAAGTTACTTCAAGAAATCCCTACAACCACTACTGCAAAGTGACCAGTGTTTGCTAACAAGTTCCAATTCAGAGTTGACAGTATTAATGCACCTGTTCCGCTCCCCCTGTCCTCCTGTGAGTCCCATGGGGAGTGGAACCACATTTGTTCTTTTCTAGGACCAAAGCACACCTCAGAATTGCTTCTAAGATAAATCAGGAAAAAATGCAAATGACCACAACCCTCTTTACCAGTCGAAGATTAATTGGGACGCCTTTGAGAAACCGGTGACGGACCGTGCCTGTGAATTCCATTGCCATCAGAACTAGAATCAGCTGTCCCCTCCTAAGCTCTGGAGGGGCCAAAGCCAGCAAAGGCACAGGGGCGGGTGTGAGAACCAATCGTGTCTGCAGGCCCCTTGCAGGGAGCCTTCTTCCTCACCTCTCCCTGGAGTGCCCCACCCCGGACTTTGGGAACAGGTGCTCTCAGAAGTATCAGAGCTCCTCTCCTCCCAGCTAGCCTGAGTGAGCAAGTTCCCAGCTGTCCCTCTTCTGACTCCCGTCCCCCTCCTCCCACAGGGGCCCTGACAAAGACTCTCCCTGATCAAACTCTAGTCAGGCTCCTCCAAGCCCTCTAGGACTCCACCCAAGAATCCAGCCCTGCTGGGCCTGCATGACAGGAATCTTACCTGTCAGTTTGGAGAGAATCCCCCACCCCTGATAGCTGATCACCTTCAGTATCTGATCAAATTCCTGATCCCCTCCCTGGGTATCTGATGACTCCTCCTCTAGTGGGTTTGACCAGGACACGACCGGTCAGTCCACCTAGCTCTCCTCCTAGTAATTTTCCAGCCACTGCACCCACCCTCACTGTACGTCCCCACGTGTCCAAGCTGACTGTATTGAGAATGGAGCTCAGTTCCATACAGGGTCTCTTCTCCTCTACAGGAAAATCAGTTATTAAAATTCTTTCTAGCGCAGGTGAACTGGTGATAGGAGGCCCATGGGGATTACAACCGAAATGGAAAAATGCACAAAATGAAGAATGATGTAAAAAAATTAAAAATTGAAATAAAAAAATTTCCCTGAATCGAAAGAAAACAAAAAATTCTTTCTAGATCTGTTAGTCTTTAAAAGCCCCCACAAGCCCTGCGTAAGGGGTCCTTCTGACAACCAAAAACGTCTTCACAGCGAGGCGGGGAGACCCAGATGAACTGGGCCCCAGTGGTCTCTTCCTGCCAGACAGGGTCAATCCCGAGAGAAGAGGCGCCATCCTGGTTGCTCTCCCATGGTCCAGAAAGAGGACCCTTTTGGGGTGGGACCATCACATAACCTAGAGGCTTCAGGTGAATTTAAAGACAAAAGCAAGCCAAAGGGTGACGAAAACACACCCAAATTTAGAGTGGAATAACCAAGGCCCCACGTCTAGTCCCTGGTGCCAAAGGTGTAAAACAGCAGGATGGCTTCCCTTCCAAAAGTCCCTCCCAGGATGCCAGTCCCTACAGGTTCTCCATCTCTAGCCTTTTCTGGAATCTTCCATCTTGCAGTCCTGGTTGGCGGCATGTGTCCAGAGGAACGACGGGTAGCAAGACCTCACCTGGTAGTGACAGTCATCCCCTTTCCCCCACCTCCCACACCCACTCCATGTCCCAAGTCAGGCAAAGACTGGACCGGGGAGGAAACGGTGGGGAGAGCACATGGGGGGTGGAGAAGTGGGGGTGTGGACCCCAGAGGGGAGAGGCAGGAGGATACTGCCCCCACCACACCCATTACTGGCAGCTCCACGACCAGAAAGGGGGCACTCAGACTCCTCCCTGGCCTGGCTTGCCTTGCTAACTCATCTCCCCCACATCCTGACCCGGAGAGCCCCGGGGTCGCCCAGCACTTGCCAGAAGTAGGGGTCTAGAGCGGAGAGAAAGGTGTTGTTGTTGCTGGCAGCCCCAAATGTCCTAAGACAGAGGAGCAAAGCAATCTGAGGCCCTGGGGGGAGGAGGCCAGGCAGGGATCAGGCACAAAATTTAAGACATCAAAAGACTCTGTAATCAAGATAGCATTTTAGTACAATATTTTTAAATCAGGGTTAATACCCAAAAAAAAAATTATCAAAAATTCAAATAAAGGCAGGTTTCAGGAGAGCCAGCCTGACTTTCCTGCCCTTTAGGTTCAGTGCTCCTAAAGCGTCCAGAAGTTGCCAAATTGTGTGCCAGCCCCGCTGTATCGGGAGGAGATGGGTGCTGTGCACGTCAGGAGCCCCCATGACACTGGACATAAACTCGGGCTGAGGCAGACTCAGTCGTCATTAAGAAGCAAGCAGCTTCTACAGATGCATGGCAAGGTCAGTGGCCCGCTCTCTCACGTGACTGTCCCTTTCAAAGGAGCACCTCCCCAATCCATACTCCAGACAAAATCAAGTTTTCACCACTAACAACCTTCTGGAATAACGATACTATATCCACCGTGAGATCACCAGTTGGAGAGATGGAATGACTTCATTCAAAGAGACGTGAAGGACTCCAGCCTTCTAATCACACTGGGTTAAAATCGCTTACCTAGAGTCTCCACCTGCTTCTCCGGGCGGAGCCTGTCCCTAATGCTCGCTCCCTTAGGCTGAACTGTATACACCTCCATAAATTCGTAGTTGGCATCTGCAGGATTAGAGTCTCTATTATTTCTATTTCTCTGAGGACTCAAGGACTCAGGATCCAGGGAGGGCCTAAAGGTTCCTGCACACACCTCCCAGCTCAGTGGGGAGTGTGCGTACAGAGGAAGCCTGGGGTCAACAGCAAGCTAGGGCAGACGGACTCCACCTTCTTCCCCTTTGTGTGTTGTGTTGCCCCTGGCAGGCCCTCCTGGGTTCCCACACCCACATGCCCCAGTCTCCCAACACTTCTTTTGTGGTATCATTATTAAGGTAAAAACGGAGCCTCCACTCCCTGCCCAGCAGACAAGTTTGGAGGCTTAGCTGGATCAGGGGAGTGGATGGGGCTGCCTTGGGAAAGGGGCGTTGAGCTGATAATCTGCCTGAGTCAGGACATGCCCACGGCTGGATGTCCTAGCCAACTACTGATGCCCAGAGTATAGTGCCTAGGGACCCTCTGGGGCAGATCTCCCATCACACAACTGCTCCCTCAGCAGTGTATGTAATAAACTCCCCTTTAAATCGTCCAGTCTGTCTCTGGTGAGCTCTTTCTCACACACACACACACACACACACACACACACCCCTCCAGCCTACACTGATTCTCTCCCATATCACTTTCCTCTCTAGTCACTCTTCGGGGCATCCTGACCTAAAGCATGCCTTTCTCTCCTGGCCCGTTGGCCTATAATACCGATCTTGCCTTAGAAATTAACCAACTGTTGAACCAGTCCTTTCCACAACAGTACCAGGCTACTGGGGCAAGGTAAGCAGGTGTTAGGTTCTAGGTTCCTAGGTGCAGTAGGGAGCCCAAGGACCAGGCTGTATCTGGGCCCTGACTCCATCCTGCACAGGCTCACCTTCTGCTCCCTCACAGGGTCGGCTGGCAGATTCTGTCCCAGGAGCTTGGGTCCTTCAGCAATAAGCTCCTGGGTGAAGACACAAGCCCACTGCCATCTGCCACCGGCCTTGAGATCCAAGGGCAATGAAGTCAAGATGTGCTGAGCTCCTGTATACTGGATTTCCCCTCTCTACTTACCCCCAAAACCCTAAACCCTACTGGTGGCTTATGTCAGCTCATGTGGGCAGGTTTGGGCAAACAGAACCACAGACCTCCCTGCCACCTGTAGTCATACCTTACCCAAAGGGACAAAGGGAGTCTTCACCCCAAGATCCTTCCCTTTGCCCATCCATCCCTGCCCTCCCTCCTTCAAAGAACTATGCCAGCTGGAAATAACTCCATAAAGCAAAGGAATAAGTTGATAATGGTGCAATTTCAGGCACTGCAACATATCTGGGGACAAGTGCCCACCCATCCATCCCTTACTGCGCCCAGCCTCTGACACAGTGACATACATGGGGGCTGGCCCCTAGAAGCACCCCGTGTGGCAGCTGGTGGCCCTTCTCTAATGCTCAGCACCCTGGTACCTCACACACTAAGGTACCAGCAAGGGCACCAGCAGCCTCTCATTTCCTGACGGAATCCCCCGGACCTCGCACAGAGCATGGGCCCAACAGATTCTTCTTGTTCATGACTGCCCGTACCGACACTGTGTGTTGGGGGGAAAGGTCCCAGGCTTCAGCCACTCCTGGCTTTGACTCTGCCAGCTTGAGGCACCCCAGCCAGATCCCTGTGGTTCCGTCAGCAAAACAAGGCGAAGAACCAACAACTAAAGCGGTGAGCACTGTGGGTGGCTGGCAGGAGGCCCTACCAACATCAGTCCCCTCCCTAAAGACCCAGGCAGTACCTGTCACTTGGGGCCCTCTTGCATGTCAAAAATTTGTTATATTTTAGCACTGTTTTAAAACAAAGCCACCAAGCATCTAAGGGGAAGTGACGGCAGAATTGGGAGGAGACACTGCAGAGGCCAGGTGCTTTTACAGCAAAACCAGCATCCCCCTTCCGCACAGTGCTGAGACCCTGTCCCAAAGTTCAGAGCGAGCAGGATGTGTAGCGAGGTGGCTCACGGAATCAAGCCCTTAAAAACCAGTCCAGCTTCCTGGAGCCAAAAGCCCGAAGGCTGCAGTCCTGAAGTCTGCAGGCAGCAGAGAGCCAGGACATGTCCATGGCTGCCAGAGGTCCAGTGGGCAGTGTCCCCACTGTCTGTCCTTAGCCCAGGTCCAGATCCTTGGCTCCAGGGCCACTCTGAGGGCTCCAGCTACTCAGGGGCTGCACTGGAACAGCCACAGCAGCTGGGGCGCCGCAGGGACTGCATGACAGCTCGCAGCGGCCCCCTCCGGCCCTCTGCAGACAGACTATCTTCACTGGGGGGCACTCGCTGCAGCTGCTCAAACTGCATCTCCAAGTGCTTCTGGATGGCCACACCGAGCACCTCAGGGTCCACAGACGCGCCATACACCTCCCATGTCATGCCCTCAGCATCCCACCGCACATCCCTCACAGGAGAGGGTGTCTCCTCTGGGCCGGACCCCAGAGCTACCTCTGGGAATGTGTGCAGGGCCACAGGGGTCCCCAGGGGTGGGCTGGTGGCCACAGCCTTGCAGGTGGCCAATGGAGCCGCCTGCACACCAGCATCCTGGGCTGAGGGAGGAGATGCCCACGTTGGGGACAAGTCACTGGCTGAGGTCATGGTACACACATCCTTGGTCCTGGAGCCAGGCTCCGTGGCTAACCTGGTAGGGCCCCAAGGATGGGCACAGCAGTGGGGATGCCCAGGAAACCCTCCAGGTAACCTGCACTGAAACTTCACTCCATGCTGAGCCTGCAACCCAGACTCACTCACTGATGCCACTAGTTTGGGAAAGAGGAGCCGTGGGGTGAGCAGGGCATGGCAGCAACCACCAGCCCCCACCTCCCTCATGCCGCAGAGTAGAGCTGCTGGCGGGAGGGCCTGGCAGGAGGTGGTAGTCAGCTGCCCAGTGGCTTTGGGCATGGCCGGGGGGCCGCCGCCGTGCTCAGTGGTGCCTCCCAGGTCTGCCAGGTCAAGTGGCGGCACCCACACCTGACTCTGTCCCAGGGTCCAGGCTGAGTCTGAAGTCCCATCCTCCGGATCCGGACCCCTTTCCGGAGCAGAAGAGGCCTGGTCTCCCGGCCCAGCAGTACCGCTAGGCTGCAGATGAGTCCTGTGGACCGGAGAGCTGCCAAGGGCCGAGCAGCTGAGGCTGGCCTTGCAGGCACCGCCGGGGCCCCGGGTCTGGGTAGTGCGCACCAGGTCCGAGCGACTCCGCTGCACAGCTGCGGCGCTGGGGGCCCGTGGGCAGCACAGGTCGCTGCCACCCACGGCAGACACGTTGCCCACAGTGCTGCTCCGCCAGTGGCCCACGGCCCTGGGCTGGGGGCTGGAGGCCTGGGCCTGCTCCACACTCTCAGTCTGGTGCGCCTCTTCCTCCAGGACCCTGGGACTGGCCCCAGCCTCACCCGGCTGGGCTTGCCACACCGTGCTGCTGGCACTCTTGCGGAGCTCTGGTCTCTGGCCCCGGCCTTCGCTCACCAGGCTCGAGGAGCTCCGGGACAAGGGTTGTGGGCGGGGGCTCAGAGGTGTCTGGGCATCTGGCCTGGGGGTGCCGGTGCTCATGGCTGCCTGCAGGAGAAAGAGGAGGGAGCGGAGGTGAGTTGGGTGGCAGCACCTGAGTGGACTCTGCTGCCAGCGCACATGAGACAGCTCTGGGCCCAGAGCCACACACAACAGCCACGGGGCATCACACTTCAAATCAGAGTCATCACACACACGCGGGGAGACACGACAGATGTCTGGTAAACAGTCCAGACCCCTTAGATTAGGGTCCTGGGCCCACTCACCATGCCAGCTGTTGGTTTCACTGCTGGACAGAGAGGGGGAGGGGAGCCCAGAGCAAAACCCAAGCCCAGCAGGGCCGTGGGGCCAGGGGCTCTGCTACAACAGCTCTCAGGCGATCTGCATTTTAATAATCAGTGAAGTTCAGTGGCCAAATACTAGCCACTTCCTCCCAGGACTGTCAGTAGCTATCTCACTCTGGACTAGGGCTTCCTTGGACAGAGGCTGGGAGGAGGTGCGCAGGATGAAAAAAGCAGTGAATAGAGGACCCCACAAGAACAGCAGAGTTTTCTCCCAGACCCCTCCCCGCCCCCTCTGGCCAAGCCTGGAGGAGGTGTCATGTCTCCAGGACTCAGTCTTCCCAGCTGAAAAGGAGGAAGGAGCGCGCTGATTGCAATCTCTGCTTCCAGGCTAGGGAAAGAGCCCCACACCGATTCTTTGTGCACAGGGCTCACTTGGCACTTGTTCACTCCACAGCCATTCCTGAGCAACTACAGCATGCCAGCTTCGCCTCTGGCTGAGCACTGTCTGGCCTGGATGAAGAATCTGGCCACCTGCCCGTCTCCCCCCAGCCAGGAGCCATCAAAGTCGGCCTTGTGGCCTGCCCCCCACTGTCCAGCCTCCAGCATTGACCTGACACATTCCGAGACTGTTATAACAGCGAGAACAAGTAAACCCACACAGGAAAGTGCTGTGTGCCAAAAACCAGGGTCTGAAGGAGGGTGTCTTTAAGGCAGGAGAGCTCTCTTTGTGTGATGGATCAGAAAAGGCTTCCTGGAGGACCAGCCATATGCATCAAGCCTGAGGGAGAGGAAGGAGAAGGTGCCTGAGGGTAAGGAACTGGGTGAGCAGAAGGAGGAAGCCCTATGGCCAGAGCTCAAAGAGGGGTGTGGGGGGGACAAGGGCCCACAGGGAGGGAGCGAGTGGGGTCAGGGCAGCTGGGCCTGTATCAGGTGTATATCGGGAGAATCACCCTGGGACTCCCTGCCAGGCAGGACGGGCTGGAGAAACAGGGTGGAGACAGGCAACAATTGCAGTTGCAGTTTGGGCAATCCCAGTCCTGCCCTCCCACCCTGGGCTGATAAGAACTACCAGGAAACCAGCTGCCCTGGCCAGAGAGAAAGGCCACCAGACAGAAAGGGGACGTGGGAGGACTTCGGGAATTCGGTTTCTGTATAATTACACACTCTGGCCTTCCCGGTGCTCAGGAGGTGGCTGGAGGCTCTTCGGGCCACAGTACGGATGTTTCTGGAGCAGCAGTCCTCCAGGAGCTCCAGGTTTACTGCAGAGTCCAGCTCAGCACACCCCCTGCAATGATGGAAGGGTTCCACTTGGCACCATCCACTTGGGACCACTGGGCAGGTCGCTAATACGACTGAGAAACGGAAGTTGTCATTTTACTCAAACTAAGTAACTTCAACCTAAATGGCCACAGGGACTGTTGACGATCATGGGGTCCTGGCCTGGGAGCAATGTCGCTCTGGTCTCTAGAGGAGTGAAGACTACCACCCAGGCCCTGCGTCCAGAAAGTTCTATGTGGATGTATGGACAGAGAAGGATCGCAAAGCCCTAACAACCACAGTAAAAATAATCAGAGCTCACAGTGCCCAGTCACCCACGAGTCAGGCACAAGCCACATCCTTTCCAGCATTGTCTCAATTGTCAGAGCAACCACATAAGATAAAGCAGCATCCCCATTCTACAGCCAAGGAGCTCAGGGAGGTTTAGTGACTTGCCCAAGGGCACAAGTGGCAAGTGGCTAAACCTGCCTGCCTGAGAGTCTTCAAGTGGTCACTTAATCTCTTGGAACCTTAGTTTCCCAACCTGCAAAATCAAAGTAAATCCCTGCCCTGCAGGACTCTTGTGAGAAGTAAACATGATGGCGTATGATGGCAGATGTTGTTAATAATAATCTATCTCCCTTCTTCCCAACAGGAGTGAGCTGTGCTAAAGCTAACAGTGGGAGAATAAGGTCTTTGAGGACATCACTGAGACACCCTCGTGTCTGTCTCGCCTCCCAATGCTTTCTACCTTCAGCAATCACGGACCCTGTCATTCCCAATACAGATGATGTCCCCATTACTATGCTGAGTTAACCTGCCTACTTCAAGCCTTAACTTGGGAGGATGAACATGCACATACTAGTACGTGCATGCATATGGGCACACGTGTGCACACAGCTGGGATTCTTCATTGCAAATGCCCAGACTGGCAAGCCCACAGGCCTTAAAAGCCATAGGAATGGCTCTGGTTTCACCTTAAAGAGTCCCTGGTAAGATATTTTAGCACAATATAAAGGACAGTCACTTAGAAATATCTATACCCCTAATTCTTTGGGGAGACACTGTATGTTCTATTTCCTGCACATTTGATGCCAATCAAACTTGTGATGTGGCAATGTCCTGTGACCTCAGTGCTGCTTGTCAGTAAGTGAAGATGCAGCAAGCCTCACATGCAGCAATCAACCAATGTCATTTTGAAGAAAAGTTCCCATTTGTGTAGAAATTCTTTGATGGCCTATCCAAAGAGACAATTAGATCAGCATAATTAGAGATTCCAACTCCCACCATGTCACTCCAGAAGTCCAGGCCTTTGGGGATGTGCCCAGGCGGGGACTAATAAGGCCACCACAATAGGCTCCATCTCTAACCACACTTGTGGCATCCACATAAGTCACCTTTCATCAGGACAGGTAACTGAATGATGACTTCTGCTTGCAAAAAAAAAAATAGGAAAAGCAAACCCATACGGTCGTGAGGGGAAACTGTTCAAGTGTTAAAATTACTCTGACCTCTTGGGCACCAGGTAGGGTTGCACACCCCACAATGACAGAGGGGGGTAGCAGCCTCTAGCAGGTGGTCTGACTCATCCCCGCAGTACAAGGGAGCCCAGCAAGAAAGCTGGAAGTCAAAATTGGACAAGGCAATTAAGACCCCACCTGAGCTACTGAGGAGTATTTGGCGGGGACAAACCCACCCATCACAGAAAGGATAAAGGGACCTTCCAAACAAGATGCCTCAGATCACAAGATCTACGAAGAAAAGATTTGGAAGTTAACAGTGCAACAAGATCACAAGGACTTGGTTCTGCTCACCAGACAGGTCCAGTTCCCCAACAGCCCCAGGACTTCCTCCTCAGAAGAAGATTTGCGCCTACCTTCCAAAAGACTACTAGGGTGAAGAACTTCATCCTCCCCACCCAGCTGCCCCGAACCACAGCTTCCACGTGGCTGCTGTGTCCCTACTTGGAGGCTCACAGCCACCTATGGACTGACAGACCAGCAAAGGCAGGCTTCCCACTTTGGACACACCAGAGGCAGAAGCACAGGTCCCTCATGCTGTGAGCGCAGGCAGGAAATAGCATCTACACAGCCGCACTCTGCACACCAGCAGCTCTGCACACCAAAGGCCTGAACACAGTATACCATACAGGCTCCTCCAGGGCCACCCTTCTTTCCCACCGGTTAGGCACCAGGCCCGCCCAGATTTGGGGAGAATCATTCATCACTGAAACTAGGCTACCGACCTTCTCAGAAACAAAAGCAGTGACTGAACACGGAGCTGGGGGGCAAGAGGAATAGGGAGGAAGACTTGGGCTGGGGGCAGTGGGAGGAGAGTGGGGTGGGAAATGGACAAGGAAGGGGGAGGAGGAATGGGAAAGAGAAAGGACAGGAGTACGAATGGGGGCAGAAGACGTCGGGGTCCTGGGCTCAGCGCTGAAAAATAGGAGGATGGGCAGATAAAACAAGGGGGTACCGTACCGATAGGCAAAGAGAAGAGACAGTGTGGTGGGGGGTGGGAAGGAAGGATGCGGCCATGGGGAGAACTGAGCACTCGGCGGGGATGCGAAGGGTCTAAGCACAGGGAGAGGCGAAGAATGGGGTTCCGCAGCCCTGGGAGGGGTGGCGCCGACCACTCTCCCCAACTCCCCCCCACCCTCCCGCACGGAGGCGACCTCTCACCCTCTCGCCCACCCGAGGGCAGCGCGGGTCTTTGAAAGCTCTGCTCCTGCGGCCTCCACAGGTGCCCGGCACTGCGGCCCAAGATGGAGCCAGGCCAGAGCTGGCCTGGGCCGAAGACGCCACCAGTCTCCGTCCGCGGGACCGCCGAGCCAGCGCTGGGGAGGGGCCGAAGGGAGGCTCGCGGCGGGAGGACAAGGGAGGAGGGCGGAGGGGGCGGTGG